TGGCAGAGGAGTGCCATGATTAAATTTCTGATTCTGACTGCTGTTTGTAATAGCAGGTTCGGGTGGATACTGGGAATTGTAGACGATAGGTCAAGAAACCAGTTAGATGGCCATTGTTGAGGAGAGCAGTCACTGGGCAACAGAATGGAAGGAAGAGAAAGGTGCTGAATGATGTGTTGGGGGAAGGGATGGTGGAACAAGTTTTTCTGAATGCCTAACCTGAGTCCAAAAACCCAGCTTTTATCCTTTACATAATTTATTCTCTCCAAAATCCACTTTTCAGATGAGGTCACTGAGGCTTAGAGACATTTAAGAACCAACCTCCTTGACACTGGATAGCTAGGAGTGAGTAGGATTTAAGATTCAAAGCCAAGTGTGTTTGGCTACAAGGCATGTATGACTTCCCACAAAAACTTCATTGCCTCACTTGTTGCAAATAACTAAAAATTTCTTACTTGTGAGACTAGGTGGATGGTTGTGCCAGTAACAAAAATAGAGAACACGGAATTTTGTTTCGGCTTTTTAAAATGTTTGCCCCTGAATTATATATATGTATATAAGTATGTGTGTATATATCAATAACATTCCTCCGACTTGAACCTAGTTTTCAAACAGAGTTTTCAGCTAGTTTATCAATTCTGTCTACTTAAATGTTAGAGATAAGAAAGTAAAATACACGATTCATGTCAATTTACCTGATATTGTCTCTATTTTTTGTGCTTAAAAAATTCTTGGCTTAATAACCAGTTTTATGGCACATTAGAATCTTGTAAACAAAGAATCTATTGTGCCGCATATGAAACAGACCAAGACATCAGGGAGGGTTGGGAAGGAAAAGTAAAAATGAGTCAGAGAGTAACAGAAACAATGTAGCAGTTCATTTGGGAACTTCCTCTGTGTAGAGCTGCATTCCCGACCTAAGTCCCCAAACAAAATTAAGTCTCCATTCTCACCTTAAGAGCAAAAAGCAAGAGGGACAACAATCTGTGTCTCTTGGATTCCACTTCTGTCCAAACCATGAAGGCCAGGCTGTGAGTTGCTTCAGCCGGCTCCTTTGGTTTCCCAGGTGAACAGCCAGAGAGAACCAGTAGCCACATTGCCTTTGGGTTCAGGAGCTCAGGGTCATGGCTGTGGGCTAATTCTCACTTGAAAAAACACAATTCTTGATGCAGATCCCAATGAGGTTTGAAAATCATGGCATTTGGAAGATTGGTTCTGCACCCACTGTGTTTCACACGGTGAAAATCTCACAGGTTTTCAGAGCCCTTGTGACATGTCAAGGATGAGAAGAGGGATGGGGCTTCTCTTTTCTGTTGCTGAGCGTCCGTGGCTAGAACAGAGCCTGCATGTAGTAGATGTTCAGTAAATATTTACTGAATGAGCGATTGCTTCAGCACCACATGCCAGGTTCTGCTAGGTGCTTTCCATCCAATGTCTCTCTCATCTAATCTTCCCCAAACAATGAGACTTAGCCCTCCGTTAAACAGATGAAGAAATCAGTGCCTAGAGAAGTTAAGTAACTTGCCCAAGGACAGGCACCTTGCTTGCAATAGCATTGGACTTCAAACCTTAAACTTTTGCCCTTTTGAGTAGACTGCAATTATATTCTTCATCAGATAAGTCAACACCCTTCACACATGCAAAATAGAATCTGTCCCAATTTGAAAATGTGAGAACTCTAAGAACTCTCTGGACCAAAACCATAATAGGTACTCAGTAAATGTGGAATAAATGAGTAACTAGTGTTTATGTCTCTGTAGTCTACTACTTTGTTAACTATCGTGGAAAAAATAGGAAAGACTTGAAGATTTTCAAGACAAGTTCCTTAATCGAGGTGGGTTCACAAAATGCCAGACCAGTCAGAAACGGACACTTCATGCTCCTCCTCCAATGCCAGCTTGGAAACATTTGGTAGAAACACAATACTGGGATTATGGTAGTAATTTCTCCCATCTTGCTCAAAGCGTTCGCTTCCTTCTTGTCACCAGGAAGGGCAGAAACAATGAGCTAGGAGATGCAGTTGTGAAATATCTGGTTTTTCAGGAATGGTCAGATAAGTGGCCAAACTTTAGCTTCTTTCCCATCATTCTTTCTACTTAACTCTTTGATATTGTTCATAGGATTAGCCAGGTTCTTTTTTCTGTCCACCCTCCACCCTTTCTTTCCTCTTGGTACGTTCCTTCTGGCAATATCCTATTTCTTTTTTAAAAATTTTTTTTTCAACGTTTATTTATTTTTGGGACAGAGAGAGACAGAGCATGAACAGGGGAGGGGCAGAGAGAGGGAGACACAGAATCGGAAACAGGCTCCAGGCTCCGAGCCATCAGCCCAGAGCCTGACGCGGGGCTCGAACTCACGGACCGCGAGATCGTGACCTGGCTGAAGTCGGACGCTTAACCGACTGCGCCACCCAGGCGCCCCGCAATATCCTATTTCTAAAAGAGTTTCTCGTTTAATATTTTCTTTAAAATTTCTTTTAATGTTTATTTATTTATTTTGAGAAAGAGGAGCATGAGCAGGGGAGAGGGACAGAGAGAAAGCAAGAGAGATAGAATCCCAAGCAGGATCCATGCTCAGTGTGGAGCCTGACGTGGGTGCTGACCATGAGATCATGATCTAAGCTGAAATCAAGAGTCAGTGGCTTAACTGACTGAGCCACCCAGGTACCCCTCTCCTTTAATATTTTCTAATCCAATAGCCTTTTCTTTTAATCCCATTTCTGACTTCTTCTTCTTTTTTTTTTTTTTTAATTGTGAAAAACAACCAGGTATCTGTCATCCTCCCCTTCTCTGGATTAACCTGGGTTGTATCTGCTGAACCACTCAGGAAATGATGACCTGGCATGAAGTAAACAGAACCTGGTTGTCTTGGCCTTTTCTGTCATCTGAGCTGCTCCTGTGTATTTGAGGGTCTAAGAAAAGATGGCGAAAGGCAGGGGGAGAGAGGAAAGGAAAGAGAGGCAGAGAGAGGGTGGTCAAGACCGAAAGAAAATTGTTTTGGAATTGGAAGTTGCCTTGAAATAGACTCATCTCTTGTGCCCTTGACCTGAAATAGTCCATTAGTGTTTTGCATGGATGGGGAGGTGTAGGACATGCTATATTTGGTAGTTTTTTGGCAGAAGGGTTTCCTGTTTCACTGTGTTTTAAAATAAAGCTGCATATACAAATGAATTCTCTCGGGTGTTGAGTCGTTTTAGGTTGTACACTCTTGGTAGGCAAGGCCTGTGACGTGCTTACTTAACGGGTCTATGCTGGATGGAGTTAAGTAATGGCTCACTTGTTAGGTATCTCAGCAGTAAAATTTCCAGATGACACACAATCTACCCCAGCAGGTGCCAAAACTTAACAAAAAAACAAAACAAAACCCCAAACACTTTTTTAAAACATTTTTTAAAATGTTTATTTATTTTTGAGAGAGAGAGAGAGAGAGACTGAGTGTGAGCAGGGGAGGGGCACAGAGAGAGGGAGGCACAGAATCTGAAGCAGCCTCCAGACTCTGAGCTGTCAGCACAGAGCCCGATGGGGGGCTTGAACTCACGGACAGTGAGACGATGACCTTGGCCAAAGTCGGACGCTTAACTAAGTGAGCCACCCAGGTGCCCCTAAACACCCAAACGCTTTGATAGAAATCCTTCTTAAAATATTCCCCACTTCCTTTTGCCTGCAAGTAGAGACTACTGGACAGAATTCAGCTCTCTTTTGCTATCTCAGTCATCAGTATGAGGGTAAATATTGTACCTCTCATGTGTGATGTGTCATTAGGGTCTATTAACATGTGTGGAACTCATTGTCCTTAAACATGAACTGTCCCCAGACTGCCAGACTGCTGTGTACTTTGTTTCTTTTGAAGTTTGTCTCTCCTTTTGCACCTGGTGAGTCTTGTGCCACCACCACCGTGTTGGTCCCTGGGAGCCTCTTTCCACCTCACCCGCCTCACATTTTACATCTGACTTGCTGTGACTGAGGACGGAGATGGCACAGATGATCGGAGGTGGGGTTAAAGGAAGAACAAATAGGTTCTGAGTGCAGACCAGATGACCCCTAAAAAGTGATCTCTTTAAGCTCTCGCGTGCACACTTGCTGATCTTTTGGCTTTTCAGAAGTGTGTCTGACTGAGGTTCCGGGCTGTATTCCGGTTAGTTAAGGTTTCGGGACAAGTGAGCTGTCATTCTGTGAGTCATCGTGTACCGTTTTAAGCAACTACACAGCCTCAGAGAATAAAAGGACGTCTAATCATCTCCAGTTTCCTGTCACGGTTGACGTCACTGTCATCGTCATCATCGTCAACTCCATCACATTAAGTACCCAAAGTACATAAGTTGCCAGACAAAATCTGTTACGTACACAATCCTTTGGTGTCTAGGCGTCTGTCTACTTTAAATAGATAACACCAAAACGGATCTAATTCAGACTAAAGTGTTGATTGCGCTGTGGTGATGGACGGTATTAGCCGGTAGTCCTGCAGTGCCAATGCAGAATCCCAGCTGCTGAGGCCTACTGGGTGTGACAGGCACCACTTTGTGTGTGATGGGTACTGAGACCACAAGCAGAAATACTGCACAGTCCCCCCAGGTTGGCTTTGAGGGACTGGATGCAGTGATAGAAATGTGCGTGAGCATTATAGGAGCCCTGAGCAATGGCACGTAGCCTGGCTGGAGGAAGAGAAGCAAAGGAAGAAGATGCCTGGGCAATGCCATAGTTATTAGCTGGACGAAGGGGTGAGAGGGGCCTGAGCAAGAGCACAGAGGCGGGAGGCATCCTCATGAGGCAGGTGCCGAGAGCAGGTCCACACTGCAGGCAGTGACTGTGGTGACAGGGGACGGGAACACCGGTTCCTGAAGGTCATGCTGGGGGGCTTGGGGGGCGGGCCGGGGGGGTCACTGGACAGTGGAGTTAGATGTATGTATTAGGCCCCTCCTGGCAGAGGGGGAAGGTGGTTAATGAAGAGGACAGGTTTAGGCTTAACCTAGGACCGTGGCCGTATCTCTGGATTCTGGAAGCTGGATTTGAGAAATGTTTATTAAGTAAAACTCAGAAAGCTTGCAGTTGGGTGTAGGAGATGAGAGGAGGCAGTCAAGCATGACCTCCCAGCCCCAAGTGCAGCTGGTGTCATACACGGAAGGGTCACATTGGAGAGGCAGCTAATGGATTCAGCTTTCGATACGTGGGTTTGGCCTGTCTGCAGAGATGCCCAGGGAAGAACTGGGGCTCCAGGCTGAGTTCTGAGTATGATCTTGGAGGATCTGGGGCTGGTGGTTCCACTGATTCTCTCTGTGGAAGTTGGGGAGAGTGACTGACGTGGCTGGGGACAGACAAGGTGGAAACAAATGTTCTTCACTGAGTCAGAACAGAATCTGACCACGGAGAGTGAAGAAAGGTAGGTTGCACAGCAACTACCAGGGACTTTGTGACATTGTTTGAGGAAGGTGGGGCTCCCCGCCCGGCCCCTGGAGGTAGCTCCTCAGACAGTTGGTGGCAGCAGCAGGGCTGTGGTGAGGCAGCTCCTCTCTGGATGTGGGCTCAGATCCGCCCTGCTGATTGGCCTGGGTTTTGTTCTTGGCCATCTGTGGCAGGCTTCCAAACCTCCACTGGGCTGCCGCTCACAGTTCCCAGAGAAGAGGAACTTGTTTCTCCAGAAAGTGACTTTTGGCTTTGAGACAAAAGAAAAAGAACAGTTTATTGCACACCCCATGACTGAGAGAGAAGCTATTGATCAGATGAGAAATCGAGAGGGAGAGACAGAGACAGAGGACAGAGACACAAACAAAGAGACAGAGAGAGAGGAAAGAGGGAGGAAGGGAGGGGGAAGACGTTCAAATAGTTTGTTCAGCTCGAAACAGCATTTTAAAGAAATACAAAGAGCCAAAAAGAAGAAAAAGTTACTTTTGTGTAGGTCCTTAATTAGGAAGTTCACACTCTGGCCACTGGCTATCTTAGGAACTCTGCATCTTTTGAAGTGCCCTCTTGCATCAGAGACGGGTCAGGGTGATGACTGAAAGGAGCAAGAAGGGAGCAAATTGATTCCAAGTTTAAGGTTTTCTTAATTAGAAGGCCCCAGAGAAGAAGAGTGAGGATCATCCAAGTCTCCCTGTGTGTGGCTGGCCACGGTCAGCACTGGTGGCCCCTGGTTAGTTTTATTAGACTTGTGAGTTTTCCTAGTTATGCACTGAACAGTCTCCCTTCTCCGGTATTTAGTGAGCAGCATGTAGCCTGAGGATGGCAATTAACTATAGCTAAGCCAACTCTTTGCACAGCCCAAGATGAGGTATACAATACCTCACCACCCCTTTCAGACCTTCTCTGTGCACACAGTGGGAGGACAGGGCCATTTGCAGAGAGCCCCCCCCCCCCAATTCCTCCTTACCTGGATGAAATCCTGGTGAACAGGGACCTTGACTGCAAATAGAGCTGACAGCACACGTTAACGTCATCGGGCCTGGTGAAGCTCATTGGCAGAGAAGTTAAGAGTCTTATTTTAGACCCAGAGACTGGAGTGTGTGGATCCAGCTAGAACAGGTCTCTTCTGGCATGGCCTTAGCTGCCAGCCCTCCTCCCCGGTGGTTGCTGGGGCTTCAGAGGATGGAATGTCAGGGGGAGCTTGCTGCTAACTGCAGGGTGAGCAGGACAATCTCACTGCTATTCAGCTGGGAAAACGAAGATGCTGACAACCCAGAGATCGCTTACCACCCAGCTAGCTGATATTCTGCCCTGCGTGTTGGTGCACTCTGCCTTCCCCCTGACAGTCAACTCTGGTGCATTGAGGAGCTTGGTTGTAAAAGGCTCGGTCTGTTCCTCAGCCTCTCACCCTTTCCCCCTTTCTTCCCATAATCAGGGTTTAAAATGTGTATATCCCTAAAGTAGACCAAGTGTATTCCAAAGGACGTCTCAGGCTAGCTTAATACATTCTGGCTCAGATGCTTCCTCTGCAAACAGGAGAGGTTTAAACCTCCGGGATAAACGCCTTAATGCAGTGATCAGTGGTATAGATTTGATCCAGGAAGTCCAGGTAAATAAAATATTTGAAAAGATGAGGCCTTTTGTGTTTAGGACTCACTGAGCAACCAGAAACAACATCTTTTCAAAAAGCAAAAATTGGGACACATGACCTGGCAGAGGTTTTGTTTTGTTTCTGATTTAATTATTTAAAAATTCCCATCAGAATTATGCCTTTAAGGAAACTTTAAAAAAATAATAAATTTTTTAAATTTTTAAAAATAAAATTTGTGACTACACATTTATTACAAACCTATATCATTTGACGATAGGATATAAATATAATTTTTAGATATTTCAACTCAGGATTGCCTAAGAAAATCCACGTGTCCCCTACACTTTAGGGCCGAGTTGTAGATGGGTAAACCCCCTGTGTGGAACTCTAAGTGCATAAAAGAGCAGTGATTTAAGGATCTGCTGTGTTTGCATTTGGAGACAGTGCCTGCCTTGATTTCACAATAATATATTGCAGTAACCCCTGCTACTTCCCCTACTTGTCTCTTGTCTGCTGTCAGGCTCAGCAGCTAAACTTTCTATTGCGTTCACATTGCCGTGACTATTATTGACTTCGGGCTTTCAAGAGTCAGACATTCCTCTTTTCGGGTGCCTCAGTGTAGACCCAGGCTCAGAACAAACCTGGACTGTGGTGGGGTCCCTGGGGCCCCTCTGCAGCCGTGCTGAGAGCGCGCTCCCCAGAGCACTTCTGCAGCTTCCCCAGAGGAGCCAGCGGTGAGGCGTGGGCTTCCGCAGCCACCGGGAGCCAGTCGCCTCGGGTCCCGGGGTTTCCTGTTCCGCCGTCGACTGGGCCGGCCCCTGACGGCACGTATTGAAACGCAAATGACAGCCGTAATTGGCTGAGAGATAACCCCCAACGAGCGAGTGAGCAGTGCGGCGGGGAGTTAAGTGGCTAAGTGACAATTACTGCTCTGCAGCCTCCGGGATCACGAGCACTGGGCCGTTTGTTCTTGGTTTTAAAGGAGCAATAACACATTAATTGGAGGAGGGCTTCTAGGTTAACTTGCCTCACCCGGTTTCCCATCTGATTCTGCTTTGAGGAGTGGGAGTAGGTGGCCTGGAGGAGTGCTTTGTTGACTGCCTCCCCCCAGCCCCAACCCCAACCCCTTCCCACTTCCTGCAGGTGGATTAGAATTTTGGGAATGGATGTCTTTCATTCTGATAAACTGAAGGGTGATTTCGTTTGAAGATTTCCTAAAAGCTCCCTTGCAGGAGGGAGGGACCTGTTAGTTCTCAGTGTTGTTTCTGGTGCCGGGAAAAGCGGCACCTTAAACTCAGTCTAAGTTGCCAGCTTACCCTCCAGGAAGTCCATTAACCCAATGATTTTATTGTTTTTAAGTTTTATTGCAAAAATTAGCCGGATACAGCAGTGAGCCACAGAGATATGGTCCCTGCCCATTTTGGAGCTTACAGCCTGGTTTGAAGAGAAAGATAGGAAATAGATGAAACTACGGGCTGCTGTTTCACTTAAATAAAGAGAAGCTTGGGGTCCTGTGGAAACGTGGGGGCAGTGGGAGAAAGGGCAAGTTGCAACATAGAGTTGACTGGGTCAGGCCTGCCTTGCTTTCTTTGAGAGGCCATTTGAACCCTGTTCTGGTCATAAACAAACCATTGAGATGATTAGTTTGGACTTGAGATACGCAGACTAAACAAACCCAGGAACCTAGTTGAGAGCCCTTTCTCAGTGTAGTCTGCCTTTCTACTATATTCAGAGTTCTCAGGGTCTAAATACCTTTCAAATACCATCTAATGGGCTCATTGTTTTTGTTTGGTTGGTTTCCTTCAGCCCAGGCAGCTTGGTCACTTTTTACTAACCATCCCCTCTGGTTCAAAGGGTTGTAACAGAACCCTTGCCTTGGCCAGATATCTGGTCATTTCAAAGAACAGGCCTTTATCTGCTTTGGGACATGTTTCTGCCCAGTGGCCCAAACCTATGTAAAGCAGCGAAGTGATGAAAAAGAAGAGGTAGACCCTTGGTAGTGGCAGGCGGGAGAAGGTCAGCCCTTCTCTTGCCTGGTATCGGAAGGCTTTAGGAAATGCTCACCTCTCAGCGAAGGCCAGCTTTGCTGTAGGCTCTAAGGGTGTAACAGGAAGATGCCGCTGTACCTGACTGTGAAATGTCATCTATGTCATCTATGAAGGGCTTTTTGCTAGGCCCACTTCATGAACTCACCAGGCAGAGGGGGAGATGCTGGCTTATCTTTTAGAAAGGCCTTTCTGTCCAGCTTCCAAAGAAAGCCTAGTTAAGAATTTGTGGAGGGGGCGCCTAGATGGCTCAGTCAGTTTCGCATCCAACTTCCGTTCAGGTCATGATCTCATGGTTCATGAGTTCGCGTGCCACATCAGGCTCTCTGCTGTCAGCACAGAGCCTGCTTCTGATCCTCTGTCCCCAGTCTCTCTCTGCCCCTCCCCCACTCCTGCTTGCTCTCTCATGTTCTCGGTCTCAAAAATAAACATTAAAAAAAAAAAGAATTTGTGGAATCACTAGTAGTAGCTATAGACTCTCCAAAAGAGGAATAAATTATTCCTTTAAATAAATCTTTACTACACAGGATTACTATGGCACTTAGTAAGGCTGTATGTGAGCACTTAGAACAGTACCTGGAACATAGTAATTGCTAATTAAATGTCCATTGTTGTTGTTATTGCTGTGTTGTTATTATTCACTTTCTGTACCTCATGTCTTTAGTATGAATCACAAGAGTGATAACAACATTCTAACATTCTGTGAACACCACGCAGGGCCTTGGCAGCCTGAGAAACATTCTCATTTGGGTTCATTTTACTTTTTCACGGTACCATGCTGGAAAATGAGCTACATAGAAAGGATTCTGTAGAATGGCTATCCAAAGGTCAAAAACAACAATAACACCACAAAAACAAACAGCAAATTATTTGGATACAACCTTGGTTCATCAGTCTTGGAACAAAATGGTGATAGCAAATACAGGAGGTCCGCATTAGTTTCTTGGGGGAGACTGTCCAGCTGTTATGTCATCAAAAATTACACCGGATTTGGAAAAATACATTTAAAAAAAATTTTTTTTTTCAACGTTTATTTATTTTTTGGGACAGAGAGAGACAGAGCATGAATGGGGGAGGGGCAGAGAGAGAGGGAGACACAGAATCGGAAGCAGGCTCCAGGCTCCGAGCCATCAGCCCAGAGCCCGACGCGGGGCTCGAACTCACGGACCGCGAGATCGTGACCTGGCTGAAGTCGGACGCTTAACCGACTGGGCCACCCAGGCGCCCCGGAAAAATACATTTTTTAAAATTTATTTATTACGTTTTATTGGTTTTTTTTTGAAATACACTTTTTTTAATGCCTTAAATAATTTGAGTCACATATAGCAAAATTCACTCTTTTTGGTATTCTGTTCTGTGGATTTTGGCAAATGCATAGAGTCCTGTAACCACCACTACAACCAAGATACAGAACAATTTGCGTATTCCATCTCCAAAGAAAATTTCCTCATGCTACTTCTTTGTACTCAAACCCTCCCTCCACCTTTAATCCCTAGCAACCACTGATCTGCTCTCCATCCCTATTTGCCTTTTCCCGAATGCCTTGTGAATGTAATCATAGCGTATGTAGCCTTTTGAATCTGATGTCTTCACTTAGCATAATGCATTTGAGATTCATTCATGCTGTTTCGTGTATCAGTAAAAAGCTTATTTTTAACTCATAAAGCGTTGAACTCTCGAGCTGCATGGAGTCTTAAAGATCGGAACCACACACTCATTTCCCAGGGGAAGACACAGAGAACCTTGGGGTGAAGTGACTTGTCCAAGGTCATGAAGCTAATTAAAGAAGGAACATGAACTTGGAATTCCCTGCTATCAGTCCAGGTACCATCTGTTCAGTCATACTGGGATTATGAAGAATGTGTAGCTGATTGTCAAGGGGGAGCTCTGTTCATCTTATTTTTGGTCAAAATGTGATCAAGTAAACTGAGCCTTGCTTAAGATAATTTTGGAAGGAGTGGATTTCTAGGAGGTGCAACTTCTTTAGAAAGTATATAGATAAGTCTCAACACATTTCTTCCTGTGGCACATCTGTATGTTTGCTGGTATAGATTATAGATATGATTTGATTGTAGAACTTAATCTGAAGGCCTATTATTTATTTTGTGTGTACAATAAGTTCTTTTTGATACCTAATTTATAGGAGAATTCTGAATATTACTGCCTTCCTTTTAGTTGACATTTTAAATACCAGTATGTTTTTAGGTGGCTTATTCTAGAGCATGCAGACTGTGGATCCAGACTGGGATCAAGAACTACTGATTGCTTAGTTAATTTGTTAAGTAATTATTTGTGGAAATTCTGCCATGTGGAGAGCAGTGAACTATAGGAGATCTAATAAGGCACTGTTTTTAAGAAGTTTACATTTGAATAGTTACTATCAAATGGGACACAAAAGATTAGTTCAGATTAGTTCTTTTGAGTACACTTAAGGTCTTGCTAAAACATAGTGAAGATATAAGATGATAATGTGAACTTTCTTTCTCCAAGAAGTTTATAAATAAATACCAAAGAGAGGTACAAAGACAGTGCTATTGGAAGTGCAGTTTTTTTTTGGTTGGGAACCAGTTGGAATATGATTTAGAGGTGCATAAAGCACCCAGAAGTTTGTGCATAGGAGGGACAAGGTCAGAGCTGTGCTATAGGGAGTTTATCCGACGGCACCACATAGGATACATTGAAGGGCAGAGCCTGGAAGCTGGGAAATGAGTTTGCTGGGAAATGTATTTGTTTGGGTGAAATGAAGAAAACCCATGGGACACCCGGGTGGCTCATTCGCTTAAGTGTCTGACTCTTGATTTTGGCTCAGGTCATGATCTCATGGTTCATGGGTTCAAGCCCCATGTCGGGCTCTGTACTGAGAGTGCAGAGTCAGCTAGGGATTCTCGCTCTCCATCTCTGCCCTTCCCCTGCTTGTTCTCTCTCTCTCTCTCGATAAATAAACTTAAAAAAATGAGGAAACCCTAACTATGAGACAGTGGGAATGGAAAGGAAAGGTGTTTGGGAGGTGGAACTAACTGGATGAAAGAGGGAGCATTCAAACAAGATTACGAGATTGTGCCTTGGATGACTGGTTGGGCAGCTCTGACATAATGGAGAAATTCAGGTTTGTCCGGAAGAAGAAGAGTGGGTTATGAGTGGATGATGGGGAATGTAGTGAGGGAGGAAGGAAAGGCCTTTCTCTCTTTGACCAGGTCAGTTTTGTGTGAACAATTTTGCATATGGGTGAACCTGTTAATAAGTGTTTATGATTGTTACTAATTTCCAGAAGGCTAAATAGTTCCCATTTGCCTTGAGTAAAGAAGTCTGGTGCAGTTTTTGTTTTGTTTTGTTTTGTTTTGTTTTGTTTTGTTTTTGTCCTAAAGGGTTGGTAGTGTAGATAGTTACGATTAAACAATTTTTTGACCCCTTCTCCCACCTGTGGTATGATTCTTAAAATGATTAAAGTTTTAGCTCTTTTTAACTACTGCAAGATTCTTCTTGGGATATACTGTACCCTTTACAGAAACATGAGCAAAATGTAGGTTCAGATGTTTTCCCACATTGCGATCAACACTGGATTCGAAACTTCTATTTACTTTGCTTCCAGTCTCCTAGGCACACAACTTCACCTTAACGTCTTAATATATGCTTAAAAAGAAGCAGTATGAGTGGTGAAGGAGACAGTTTACACAGGATGGAATACAGACCTTAAATTATCATTCTGAAAAGTGCAAACCCTAGTTAGGAGCTAAAGAAACATATATTAAGTCAACCTTAAGGTGAAGTTGTGTGCCTAGGAGACTGGAAACAAAGTAAATAGAAGTTTCAAACCCAGTGTTGATCACAATGTGGGAAAACATCTGAACCTACATTTTGCTGATGTTTCTGTAAAGGGTACAGTACCCTGAGAAGAATCTTGCAGTTAAAAAGAGCTAAAACTTTACTTTTTATAGCCTTTAAAACCATAGAAAGCCCCAAATAATTGTGAAGAATGAAGTTCCCTTTGGCAGCATTATTTATAACAGTGAACAACTAAAAATGGCACAAAATCCCCAAATAACAGAATGTCAAGGCAAATATCACTTCATGGGGTATTTTCTTTGGGTTGGCATGGGATGCCTTGACAGGGATGAGTATTTAAGGTGATATTCAGCAGTAAGATGTACAAGATAGCATGGACCCTCTGCTGACAACTAGAGAACATGACTTCTGGAAAAGAATTTGGAGTCACACACACAAAAAATGTAAGTGTCTAATACAAGGAAGGGATTAGTAGAAGGGTCTTTCTGTGTTTTCATTCTTCTTCCTTAGTGAGTCAAATGGAGGCACAGTCTAAAACAGAAAGGAAATTTCTAGTGAAGTAGTTCACTGTCCATAAGTTCTCTGTGCCCTTCTTCCTCTTTATATGGTTCAGATTTATTTTATATCTGCTATGTATTCACGAGACAGAGTAGTATTGATGAATTCGCTGTATCCGTGAGAGTCTGGAAGCTGGGATTTTCGTTCCTTTTCTGCCACACCTGTGAGAGCTGAAGTCACTCAGACAAGTCTTGGTGGTTCAAATGTCCTGGTCGTCTCTGTTCTCATGCTGAGAAGGTCGTTGAGAGAAAACAGGTAGAAGTACTTGAAACATTCTGACAACTAGATAGTGCACTGTTTATTGTGAGGCAAGAGAAAATAGAAGAAATATGTATCAGAGCTGAACTCTGATGAGAGAGTTTGAGTCTCTGGTGAGAGAGTTTGAGTCAGAAAATGTGTGTCTACCAAAGAGGAATTAAAGAAAGTAAAGTTGCCGCGGACACTGAGGGGATG